AAGTCCTGTTTGTCCCCAAGCTGCACTGAAATGCCACCTCTTTTGTGAAGCCATTACCTCTGGGCACTCCATACGTACTTCTATTATAGCACCTCTCACACGATACTTATTTTTTTAAATATATTTTTTATTGATTTCAGAGAGGAAAGGAGAGGGAGAGAGATAGAAACATCAATGATGAGAGAGAATCATTGATTGGCTGCCTCCTGCACACCCCACACTGGGAATTGAGCCTGAAACCCGGCCATGTGCCCTGACCAGGAATCTAACTGTGACCTCCTGGTTCATAGGTCAATGCTCAACCACTGATCCACACCAGCTGGGCTATACTCATTTTTCATATGCCTCCTTCCCTACTGGATTGAGCTCCTAGAATGTAGGGACCACATATCAGTCTGTTTTGTATCTTGGCTTTTGACCCAGTGCTGGGTGCATCTCCAGTTTGCCATACATGTTCAATGAGTGACTGAGCAAATAATTGAATGAATGAATAATTTACCGTGCCCCAGCCGGTTTGGCTCAGAGGATAGAGCTTTGGCCTGCAGACTAAAGGGTTCTGGGTTCAATTCTGGTCAAGGGCACATACCCAGGTTGCAGGCTCAACCCCTAGTAGGGGGCGTACAGGAGGCAGCCGATCAATGATTCTCTCTCATTGATGTTTCTCTCTCTCCCTCTCCCTTCCTGTCTGAAATCAATAAAAATATTTTTAAAATATTTTAAAAATAAACATAAATAAATAATTGACCTGATATGAGTCAGAATAAGAGCAGTAAGAAAGGTGCAACTGAACGGCTGCTTTAGGATGTTCAGAGGACTGAGTCATATTTATTGGGGACACCAAAAAAGACTGTGCAGAGAGGGGCGTTGGGGGCTGGGTGAAAAGGTGAAAGAACTAAGGAGTACAAACTGTATTTATAAGATAGTCACAGGATGTAAAGTACAGCACAAGGAATATAGTCAATAATATCGTAATAACTATGCATGGGGCCAGGTGGGTACTTGAAACATTGGAGGAACCCCTCTGTAAGGTGATCTAACCATGAATGTCTAGCCACTCTGCTGTACATCTGAAATGAATAAAGAATAATACTGAATATAAACTGGAAAAAAAAAGAAATACATGCCAAAAAAAAGACTGCATAATTGATTGCAATCTTTCAACTGAATCCTATATATTTGTTTGTGCCTTAATGCAAGACTCCCTGAGATCCAGGCATGGCCCACTCCTTTTCCAACTTCTACCTCAAAATGAAATTAGTTTTACCTTCCATCTCTGGTATCACATTAGATCTTTAATTTGTTTTAGCTTTGCCTATAGTCATTTAGTTTCTTATAATAATTTACCTACTTATAAAAGATCTCTTCTTTTTTTAAAAAAGGATTTAAGTGGCGGCCTTAGAACTGATCATGTGTTCCTACTCTTGCCTCTAATATAGAAGGACCCAATACACATTTGTTGGATGAAGTACAGGATTGCTCAGGCCCCAGTGGGAGTTTGAGTTGCTTGGCGAGCACTCATCTCCCTTGAGGACTCCTAGGTACTTGGCCAAAGCGCTCTCCCTACACTGTGTGTTTGACTGCATTTCTTTCTTTAAAAAAAAAAAAAAAATTTATTGATTTCAGAGAGGAAGGGAGAGGGAGAGAGAGAATCATCAGCTGCCTCCTGCACGCCCCCTACTGAGGATCAAATCTGCAACCTGGGCATGTGCCCTTGACCAGAATCGAATCCGGGACTCTCCAGTCTGCAGGCCGATGCTCTATCCACTGAGCCAAACTGTGTGGGGCTGCATTTCTTTCCATTTTCAATTCATTGGGATTATACCTTGTTGCACACGGATCTTTTGAACTTAGAACACCGAAGGCCTGTGTTATCTTCACAGCTCAGCACCCGTGGTGCCGATATGCCCCAATGTGGTTAATGTTTACCGTCTCAACCACTGGCTGAATGTCCTTAAGTCTGAACGAATAAACAAGCACACATCAATAGATGGCTCGGGTCTATTTAGTGACAGGTGCTCTGTAACTGGCGTCCTCTCAGGCACATGTTCGCCTCCTTCCCAAAAAGAGAGGGTTCGCAGCACAGAAAAATCCAGCCCAAAGGCAGTTCCTGAGGGGCCCAATCAAAGAGCAAAGTCCACCCCCCTCCGGAACTTTCCTGAGAGCCTCTTGTGTACAGGACCCTGCACGGAACGTGGAACCCAATCTCTGGGTTCCCAGGTCAGGGCTTGACTTACCAGGCAATAATGGGATGTCTGTGTTTTCTGCAGGGTAAAGTGTTGCCTTCTAGCAGAATTATCCTTTTATCTATTGTCTTCTCCCTCCATCATAGACAGCGATGCTCGCTGCCCTTCTCTCTTCCTAATAGGTCCCCACACTTCCGAGCCATATGCAAAGGGCCGGACTTTCTCCATCCAGGCGTGGACCTCCAGGTTTAAGCCCGTCGGTGTGTCCTATCCCACTGAGTCCAGTGACTGCTATAGGGATGGCCCACGACCTAAATCGGTCTAATCGGAGTGACCTCAGGAGTCTGCAGGGCATGTAGGGACTCGGACTCTTCTCAGCCTGGCCAGTGGTGCATCTTAGTTCTGCTGCTGCCATAGTGGGAAGCCAGAAGCTGCCAGGAGCGAGGAGGGGTTGCATCACGTGGTGACAAAAGAATGAATCCACCAAGGAAGCAGAGCCGAGACCTGGAAACCTGTAGTTTGAGTCCTGGATCACATGGTGCCTGATCCCTCATGAGCCAATACATTCTCTTTATTGCTTAAGCTAGTTTGCAGTTGTTTTTTTATTTCATTTGGAACATTAAACTTTCTAGTTGGTACACCTTAGATTATAAACTATGTGACAAAAGATACTGTGTCTATCTTGATCACTACAGCACCCACCCCCTGGCACATTAGTAGGCACACAATAAATGAGTGTTGAGTGAATACACATCAGCTGGAAGGCGCACGTTCTGTAAATCCCCTTTACCAACGTGACTGCAAGGAGCCTGGTGTTCTACAGGGAAGTGATGTGGCTCTAGAGGCCAGGATCTCACCCCAACTCAAGGCTTCTGCTAACCACCAGGAAGTCTCCCTCAAAATAGGTGGCGCCTCTGAGAAGGCCCCAAAGTAGCAGCTCCCCCCACTTTCCTGCGAATCTTGAACTGAATTAGAAGATAGCAGTAAGCTAGATGAGGACCACAAAGATCCTTTATTACTAATAAAGCTTTTATTACTTATAAAAATAACCTTTATGACTAATAAAGCTGAGATGAGAGGACGTGGCTTATAGTATCAAGCTAATGAGCGTCTCAGTACCCAGCCTCAGAATTAGACGGACTTGTCCAGAACGGGCCCCCCCTTCTCACCCCGAGGCAGCAGTGTTGACTCCCAAGAAGAAAGAGAAGATGGTGGGAGGCACAGTTTCTCCTTCCAAACTCATCAGTCACATTAAACCACTTCCTCCCAGAGAGGAACGAGGGGGAGGAGAGAAGGCAGGAGTGGCGTGCTAACTGGGCTCTTTCACAAGGAAGGAAGCAGCCAGAGTGGGAAGATGAGGTCTCCCGAACACACATCAAGGGTGCTTTGGTCAGGTCAATGGATTCTGCTTTGTTTTCCATCTTAACGGCTTGTTTTTCAAAGGGTGGAATTTGCTGTCTAAAGTATTCTCCATGGAATCACTGACACACCACAGTAACATCGAGCTCCCAAAGGAGTTAGAAACCCTTTAAAATCATGCGAAATTCAAAGGAAGAAACAAGGATTCACGCTACACTTACACAACCAGGGGCAATAACCCTGGCGCTGGCTCATCACTCACCGTGCGCATCAAAGGCATTTCAAGAGCACTGAAGCCTCACACCTGCCCCTTTCTCTCTGGATGATCTCAGAGCCACACTGCATCCATTTAGTCACCAGGAGAGCACAGCCAGTTTAACTCCTTGGTGGCACAGGGACAGGGGAAATGGCACTTCACGGCAAATTCCAGGAAATGTAGGGTCACACTAGACAGGAAGTGTATGACCAGGTTCCCAATTTCCCCAACGTCAAGGCTGGGGCTGAGAGCGTTTTTCAAAACAAATGGTCAGTGGAGCAATGTGACGGTCTGCCACATGCTTTTGGTTTTATTTACCTGGAACCTTTCTCCTGCTTCAGGTTTTTGAGTGTGTTTGTTTTCAAGGTAAACACTGACCATCAGGCTTTAAGAGGCTTTCTCAAAAAAACCATTGTTTTGTAAATGTGACGTTTGGCGGGTAATGAATGACCAGATCAACTGGGCAGTAATAACCCCACCCCCCAAATTAGCCAACAACACATTTAAAATTCAGTAGGTTTTACTGGAAACTGTGGTGTTGGCTATTTTTTTTTAAATATATTTTTATTGAGTTCAGAGAGAAAGGGTGAAGGAGAGAGCAATAGAAACATCAATGATGAGAGAGAATCATTGATTGGCTGCCTCCTGCATGCCCCACACTGGGGATCAAGCCAGCAACTTGGGCACATGCGCTGACCGGGAATCGAACCGTAACCTCCTGGTTCATAGCTCGAGCCTCAACCACTGATCCACAGCAGCTGGACTGCTGGCTGTTTAATGTGACTCTAAGCACAGTGTGAACCAGCATGCCTCGAACCCAGCATGGATCTCCTCTGGTCTGGCTGCTAAGACAGAGCCTTGAGCTTTGATCTTACCCTGAGCAGCTCCCTGGTGGACTTTTTGCTGGAAGCCACTAAGTAGACTTGGCTGGCCAGTCCTGGGAAAGATCCCAAGCTGACGATGGAAACCCACAACACAGCAGATGGAGACAATGTGTTCCCATCCCGCTCTCCGCAAATGCAAAGCTATTTTCTCATCTATTACCTGCCCCTATTTTTACCATCAGGAGCTCTCCGCGCCACTTGGGCTGTCAATAATTGGCAGTGAGTTTTGCAATGAACAACTGCTCAGAGTCAATTCCGTGGAATTGCACAGGAACCACATCCAAAAACAGCAGATCCAGGGACTGCTCAGCTGCTTACCTGTCCTCCAATCCTTTTCTTGCCCTAACGTCATCGGCTGGAAGAACCTGAAACCTGAGCCACGTCCTCAAATGCCAGTTCTGAGCACATGGTAGATATTTGCGAAATTCTCTGATTGATTGATGATTGACTGATGTGTACCTAGAGGGAATGAGCAGTCCGTGAGGAGTTGCTGTGTAATTCGCAATGAGGAGCGGGTTTTCCTGCTGACTCATAGCTCTCCTTTCTAATTTCAGAACAAAGTCCCCAGGGAGAGATTTGGGTAAGAAACTTGGCCGCAGGGAAAAGCCGCTAAAGTCTTCTCTAAGAGAAGCAAATAGGGAACTGGCTATGAGGAGGGCACATCTCAGTCTTTGCTGGTTTATCTTGCTCATCCACAGCACCAACCAGGGGCCCTCTGTGAAGCTGAATTCCCCCTCCTCCAAGCCAAGTGGAGACATAACCCAAGGCTCCTGCTCACACGCAGCACGGAAGGAGCCAGTCGGTCCTCTCACCGTGACCTCTCAGTGACATTCTCCAATACTGAAGTCTGTGGGGCCTCCAGTCACTTGAGCACCAGGAAGTACAGTAGGTCCTCCGGTTACGTCGGAGATCTGTTCCTACGACGGCGCGACGTAACACGATTTTCGCTGTAAGTTGGAACCCACCTACATAAGCACCTACATCACTCACATGGAGCACAGACACAGCAGTAATGAAGTGAAACAGTAAAAAAAATTTAAAAGAAAGATAACAATTCCTGACCTTTACTTGTGGTAAATAAATAATAAAAAACATAAAGCACGTATGTACATACGTCAAAATAACGGAACTTTTTTTAAATAAATAAATGGACTGTCTGTATCTACTTAGAGACATTCTGTCACTGGGGCAGCCTCGAGTGGATGTTTTCTTTTCCTCAGTATCCCGATCTGGTGCGTTTGGGGCAAGAAACCCTCCAAGGGCAGCAACCTTGGAGGAGATGCTTGTTCATGCAAGAGAGAGGGCGAGGGGGCAGCCGGCGCAGCCTAGAGCTGCTCAAGCTCCCGGGAGCCCCAGCCTGCTCAGGCAGAGGGTCACAGGCCTGCCTTTGCCTCAGGATCCCACATGGTGCTTCTTTAAATCAGCCTTAGCCGAGCAGCTCTCACGGGGCCTAGTGTTCGCAGCAGAGACCGAGATAACAGAACCAGGGCGATGCCACCCCTGCTTGTATACTGACCTGAGGGTCAATACCATCCCCTGGGCCGGAGGGCAACTTGGGTTCTGTTTCCTCTGTGCAAACTGCCAGGATGCTCCGCCTGGAAGAGGTAGACCCGTTGGTCAGCTGTGGGGAAAAACAGCCAGAGTTGCTATTCACACCCTGAAGTGCAAGCTGGGTAAAAATAGTGCTAGCAGCTTGGTCCAGCTTCAAACCCCACTGCAGAAAGAGGTTATTTTTGGAAGAGAAGATTTTCCTCCCCACCCACAGATCTGAAAATGGTCACCTCCCCGGAGGAGGAGAGGGGAGACACTCCCACGCAAAGGCCACAGCTATCCCCTTCTCCACACCCCTGCCCAGACTGGAAATGCCTTCCCCTGACAGCCAGGCCAGGCCCAGCACAGACCTGCAGGTGGCCTAGTTCAAGGTACAGTGGGAATTGATGAACTTTGACCACAGTGAGAGGAGGCAGATGTCCGAGCCTGGATGCTGCCACCATCCTGTTTATTATTACTGTTAAGCTATTTGTTTGCCTTTCAAAACAGGAAGGAAAAAGTTGCCAAGTGAGTACATGAGACCCCAAAACAACAGCTTAGCTGATCTACTGCTTGAGAGCCTGGAAATTAGTTTGGCTATAAATCAATATGGCTATCACATGATGAACAAAATTCCCATAAGCCTGGTCCAGTTCCAATTCTGTATCTGGGGCCTCCTGACAGCTGGGGCCTGAAACTCTTACCTCGTGGACTTGGGGTCAGGGTCCTGGGATCTCTTTCAGGTTCCGGAAGTGACCCAGGCAACAATCGGATGCAGGACAGCCACTGCTTTCTTTTCAGTGAAAAGGTATTTTTAGATGCATGTAAGTATGTCAATGATAATACTTGTGCAACTCTAGAGAGACATAGGCATGTAGACAGTTGCTGGGATATGTGAAAAACAGTGGAGAAAAAAACACCAGATTAATAGTGTTATTAAATGGCTCTACGGTCTGCAAGTGCCCAGGCACCCAGAGCTAAGCCCAGTATTTTCAGAAAGGAAGGGGGAAATACCCGAAATCCTACCTCCACCTGAACCTCCTTCTTCAAATATCCAGGAACCAAAACGGATCTTCTCCTTTGAGGAAACATACCTAGGCGCAGCTAACCACCTAACAAACAAGGGGAGAAGATGGCAATGTATCACTCCCCAACTTCTCAGCACCTGCCAGCAACACAGGCAGAGACCTCATCCCCCTGACGTGGCTGTGAGCACTGGAGTAGCGACAAGAGGGAGGGGCCGCTGGGTGTAGGTGGAAGAGACGGGAAAGACTGGACAGACCTTGGGCCTGGCTTTTCCTCTGGCCTCTCAGACAGGCCTAGGTTTTAGTCTTATCTTTGCAACCTCCTAGCGGTGTGACTAAGTCACATGACCTTGTAAAATCTCACTTTAACCTTGGAGAGGAGAGGTGAAACCCGCCTGGGGGTGGTGAGGACCGGAGGTAGCAGCATATGCAGAGCATGTGTTCAGTGCCCGATACAGAGGAAGGGATGCTGTGAGCCCAGCGTCCAGGAGCAGTGCTGTTTTTCCTCCGGCACGTCATGGACCACGGGCCAGACTCTGCAATCTATCCTGCTTCTAGCTGCCAGATGACGGCAAGTCGACCAGATGAATGAAGTCTTAGTCCGTGAGAAATGCATGGCATTTACAGGAAGGTACTGAAAACTTCCTCCCACGTTATTAGGCCTTGCTGCACCATGCCCTTCACTCGCTGCGGACCTTCACCTCTCTGCTTCCACCCACTTCCCCCAGCCTTATCAAGAAGCCAGAAATAGACTCTCCCCACTCAGAGGTCTCTGCCAACGGGGAGCTCTGGCCAGCGGCAGGCTGGGTCAGCACTGCTTCTCAGTGGAGGGAGCCCCTTTCCAAGTCTCATCAACCGATGACATCGTGTGGGGGAAGAGCTGCTGCTTTGCTGGGTCAGAGCTCTTTAAGCTGTTTGTTCTCAGGCTCAGAGACTCCCCGGGGACCTGGGAAAGACGGCTGTAGATCCCCTTGATTGGTCCTCTCCAGGTTTCTATTTCCCAAGTTGAGAAATCCAGATAGTGCTGACTCTAGCCCAGGAACGAAATGAGCTCAGGTCTGTCGCTCGCTGACCTCGCCCGGAGGATTGTAGGCCAAGGTGGCCAGGCTCGCTCTCCCCTCCAGCCTAAGTCAGCTTGCTCCTGAGTCAGCTCTCTTCACCTTCCTATTAATAGCCACTGCTTTGGCTGGCTCCCCTCACAGTATGATTACAGTTTAATAATACATCTCAAATAAGGAAGCAGCAAACTTCCTGGAGCTGGGTTCCCGAGGGCCTCAGAGCGCACGCTCAGTCCAGAAGGCAGAGGCCGGGGCTGGCTTTCTGCAGCAGTTGTAGCTGGGGAGAGGTTGGGGTGATGGCCTTTGAGACAAGTCACTGCTTTGGGGTTTCTGTCCTGCTGAGCTCTCCCTGGTTTAGGGCAAGAGACAAGCATGCAGGATCACTTTATGTTATTGGAGCTTTTATTACCACAGATAATCCTGGGCAAGGCTGAAAAAGTGTGTTCCTTATGCAAGAATGCAGATCCCGCAGCTACCCTGGATGGAAGTTGTGGGCCAAGCTGGAGTTAGTCCCTACCAAGGTCAACTTTTCTGTGACACTACAGTAACAAGGTGGCCTACTTAGAGAGGCTTGGGTTTCTGGATGGGACAGGCTGCCAAGAGCTAACTGTCCGATCCAGAAAAATTCAAGCCACCTCCCCTCCTCTGTCTCCCCAGTAGAAGCAGACACGCTAAACAATCCTTAGTGTTAGATTTATGCCGATAAGCAATGTCACCCTGTAATAGTTTCAGCATTCCTGTTCTTTGTGGACCTGGATGGGGAAAACGCTCACGTTCAGGAGCCAGAAACCCGGGTTCAAATTCTGACTCAGTCTCTTAGCTGAGAGGGCTAGTACATTTCCTACCTTTCTAGAACCTGGAGCCTCCATCTTCTCATGTATGTAAAAGACGTAATAATCTCTCCTGAAATGGTGTTAATATAAATTAGGCGAGACCAGCTTTGGAAAATATGCTAGTATAGTGCCTGGAATATAGTACATGCTCAATAAATGGTCCAGAAAATAAAAGGGAGGGAAATGTGAGTGCAAACCAAGGCCATCCAGGCCGCACTAGTGAAAAAAAAAAAAAAAGATAGCATCTCCAAGCGTGCAGAACTATGATATCAACATCTCAGATATAGTAAAGGCTGGTGGGAACATGTAGAACTTGGCTTCCCTTCTCTAGATTTCATTCCATTGAAAAGTCATAATAAGAGGCCGATCTGGACTGTAATGTGCTTTGCTAAGGCCACAGTGAGAAGTCTCCTAGGTCCATTTATCAGAAGTCTCAGTTCATAAACCAGTATTGGCATTAAGAAGAATAGGTGGGCCTGGCCAGTGTGGCTCAGTGGTTGAGTGTCAACCCAATCACCAGGAGGTCGACAGTTCAATTCCAGGTCAGGGCATATGCCTGGGTTGTGGGCTCATTTCCCAGTAGGGGGCATACAGGAGGCAGCCAATTGATGTTTCTCTCTGATCAATGTTTCTCTTCCTTTCCTTTCCTCTCTCTCTAAAATTAATTTAAAATATATATATATTTTAAATTGAGCAAAAAAGAAAAAGAAAACTCATGGATGTGGACAACAGTGTGGTAATTGTGGGGGTGGGGAGGATGGGTGGAGGTGGAAGAGGGGATAAATGGTGATGGAAAAAATTAAATTTAAAAAATAAAAGATCATGACTGCTGGACGGGGGCAAAAAAAGAGGAAGAATGGGTAGGCGAAGGTTAGGGAAGGGTATCCGTCTGTTCCATTACTGTGCGCTTATCTACATTTCAAGGTCCCCCGTAAGAGGAGCAGGTCGGCCTGACCTTAGGGTGAACCCCATCAGCAAGGCCAAAGGAGAAACCAAATATCACACATGCCCTGTATTCCAACCTGCTGAGAAGTAACGTGCTCCCCAAACACCTGCTTATTCGATGGCAAAGAGTTGGGTCTCTTTAACCCAGCTGACTACCTCAAGTCTGGATGGGCTGTGGGGGAGGGTGGGGTGCCAAACTTTGTTCCTGCTACAGCTTGCTTCCTCCGTGGTTACCAACAGCAGGCACATATCTGATGGGAGCCAGCCAGCGCTCCTGGCAGCACAAAGTGGGGCAAGTCCCAGCATGACCTGCCCCCAGCTGGGCACTGACTGGGGCTGGGGCTGAACTGACTTAGGCTCATGTTCATGAAAGTAGCCTCCAATTCCCCTCACCCCAGTAGGCAAAGGAGCAGGACTTCCCAGGACACCTCTTCGGGATGGTCCTTATTTCCCCCTGGGACCTAACCTTGTTATTAACCAGGGGTCCTCAAACTTTTTAAACAGGGGGCCAGTTCACTGTCCCTCAGACCGTTGGAGGGCCGGACTATAGTTTAAAAAAAAACTATGAACAAATTCCTATGCACACTGCACATATCTTATTTTGAAGTAAAAAAAACAAAACGGGAACAAGTACAATATTTGTATTTGCATGTGGCCCGCGGGCCGTAGTTTGAGGACCCCTGTTATTAACACTCCACATGACTGTATCTCTATGCGAATGTTGAGAGGGGTGAGCACACTGGGGTTCACTTACATGCAACAGAGACCACCCCATTTAAGCATCAGTCATCTGACACCACTCACTCCTCCAGTCCCTGAACAAATACTTTTTGAACATGTATTCACACCAGTACAGTGCTGGGCTCTGAATTGCTGAATCAAACAAAGATGGTCTCTGCCCTAGGAGGAGAGTCAGCCAATGAATATGACAACTAATATGTAATTGCATATTGTGAGAAATGCAAGTATGGTAGTAGAGAATGCGGTGGTGGGGAAGGTGTCTGATGTAGATGAGAGGGTCAGGGAGGTGACATTTAAGGACTTGGGGGGGACTTCGGTGCCAGTTGCCCATGAAGGTCTCCCCTCACTGCTCTGCAAAGTTCCCTTCTCTCCTAATGCAAAGCTCTGTGAACCTGGAGAAGAAATACATCCTCCAAGAAGGACTCCTTGTGGTTAACTGGGCCCAAACTCATAACCAGAGTCTAGCAGCCATTGTGTGCGTCAGAAGCTGCTCGCGCACACACCCTTCATTTCAGGGGAGAGCCACAGATTGAGCTCTCAGCCTCCTGCCGTCTGAGTCAACTATCATGAGGGAATTCCTGGTTTTGTCTTTCGACCAATGAACTGAGACTTGCCCTGTCCAATCAGAACTGTACAATTATATCCTCATTTGCATCTAAACTGACCAATCAGAACAGTATTTGTTTGAAACTTCATTTGCATAAAATTGGACCAATCAGAATGGGAGGTGACTTTATAAAAGGCTGCCTCCCCTGTGTTTCAGGAGTGCACTCTTGGTATTCCACTAGCTGCATTTTCCCATTTGCAAACTGTTCACCTGAATGTAATATTCCCTTTTCCACACCACAAATTGGGAATTTTTGTTAACAGCTCTAAGAAGAAGGAAAGGGTACCTCAGCCAGGGATGCTGTGAAGAAGATTCTGGGAGAAGAAAGGGGGATACAAGATCTTTCTTCCAAGTCTTCTTCTGTGGATATATTTACTTTTCTTTCCATTCTCCCCAACCCCCACCCTCCACTCCCAGACACCCATCTGGACTCTGTCTAGGGCCTTTCTGGCACACTTGTTTCTCTACAAGCTCTTCCTTGTTCCTGTTCCCCAGCATGTTCTCGTCACTGTGAGGACATTGCCCTACCTGGCACAGCCCAGAGAAGGCCTTCATGGGCTCAGTCTTTGAAAAGAGTTTTCTCCAAGGTCCCCACAATCCTGCCCTTGAATCTCCAGAAGCCAATAGCTTTGACCTGCAATAAATAAAAACTCACCATTCCTGCTGGGCCAGCAGGCTAATTATAGTGTCTTCTTTCTAGAAC